ACGTGCGAGACTTATTGTTAGAGGCCCTGCAATTTCCCTGCTCTCTCTACTCAGGGCTCTGGGCAAAGCAATGAGAGTGAAGGTATCCTGTGCGGTATACTATCATACCAGGAAAGTGATCAATGTTGCATCACAGTGATTTGAAGGGGATTTTTATGTTGCACTTTCAAGGGGCACAATAAATCAGCTGATGTATTAGTTGTGTGCTGTGCAGCGCTATGCACGACTGTGATCTGAAACGGATAACTAACCTTTATTCAAGTCATTTCAATTGATTAATGATGCTTGTTTTAAAAAATGCCCGACTCTGAAAAAAGAAATCTAGCAGACGGAAAAAACTGTATAAATCAGCCGAAAAAGTTTTGGTGGGTGGAAAATATGTTTTTAATGCATGTAATTCAGTTCCCAAAAAAGCTCTGGCGCGGCGCAATAAAACACATGGACATTTATGATTTTTCAACCGTAAAATAAAATATTTTAAACCCTGGAAATGGGCATTCACAGGAAAAAAATATGAGAATTTGTGCTCACCTTTTCGATGTAAAATGCAAATAAAAGAGGGAGAGAGGGAGAGAGAGAAAGTTTCAATAATCTAAAGGAAAAAATACGTCAAGGAATTTCTGATGATTCTGCATTCCGTCATTTGTTTAGCTCTCATAAGTCCCAAATTTTTTTAGCGTTTTCGTAATTAAATCAACCATAGTCGAGGTATAGCGATGACGCCATTGATACGTCTTCCCGCAGGCTCGCACTTAATTCAAGAGGCCATTATACATATAGGGGATCAGGGTTGGATTAAGGAAGTGGCCACATGAGCTGCGGCCCATGGCGGCAAAATGTACGGGGCGGCAAATTTTGCAATCTCTTTGAATGTGGGTATCAAAAAGAGAGAAAAAATCGGATTCAGAAAATAAATAACATACGAGAAAAGGCGACAAAATCTCTAATTTCCTGAAGTAAAAGTATAGTAATTTCTAATTTTGTCGTCTTTCGGTGATACGAGAGACAACACCTTTCATTGGATTACATTTTGCAATAAGGAACCACTATTTCCGACTCATTTTAGAAACAACACATATGCCATTGGTTTCCCCATACAAAAACGTGCTTTTATGAAAGAGCCAGACTTATTGGTTCCTTATTGCCAAATATAATCCAATTTGTCGAGTTAAGAGAGAAACCAAACACGTGATTTGACCTGGAACGGAACGGTGCTGCGGTCGGCATGAAACGCATAGCGCCTTCAAGACTGCATGAATACTTCAAGCATTGCGCCAACACAGTGCGGTCGGCGCGGCGGTGGAAGTTAACATTTTTAACCACATTTATGTTTGTTCTTTCATAATTTTTTCGTTCGTTTTTTTATACATTGAAGGACTTGTCCAAACAGGGGTGGGTTTACGGAACTGAACTTTTGTTAGTGTTGACAGGGCTTTCACAAAAATGTGCCCAACACGAGTAAGCACGTCTCATACACCCCTCCCTCACCGGCACCGGTGATGGTTTTTATAGATCGTATTCGACAGATCATACAGGTGAGATTATAATGATATCGATTGGTTCAATATGTAACCACGGCCTCAGAAGTCAATTTAGAAATCTGAGGTAACGGGTCTTATGTGATCGAATTTTTATTCCCTCGAGTACCAAATGGCAATGAAAAGTGGAAATGTCAGGAATTTTCTCATTTTCAGCTTTTCTAAATTAAATCCTAAAATTTTTGTTTGAGGTTATGTTCTGTTGCTTTGAACCAAACGATACATCAAACTACTGTCGAATACGATCTATTGATGTTTCAAAACAAATAAGAAGGGGACAGAAAAATACAGGCGGCCCATGGGCAGCAAGTAGGTAAATCCGGCCCTGTAGGGGATGATACCACTCTTCGACCACGTGGGAGTTTTTGTTGCCTATTCTATTAATTGAAGGAAAACTTACATGACGTTAACGGAACCGCTTCCGGTTTGGCATAGAAAGGTATTTTTGAGTGTTTCGACTTTCAAGTGAGCATGCCATTTCAAGATGATGCCACTTTTCTACTTCTCACTCGTTTCTCTTTTCTTCTTCCTCTTAGTAAATTGCAGAGACTTAAAGTTGCTAAGGTACCTCTATAAAATAAATATATACTACTATTGCTTATCTTCTTCAATCTCATTTCTGCTCTCTTTTTCCTCATTTTTCTCTCATTTTTCTTCATGTTCTTCCTCTTCAATCTCGATTAGTCGATTCGTCTCGATAGTTGCTCGACCGAGTCTTGTTGCGGTTTTTTGCTCCCGCCCTTTTCAATACTTCTTTATCGAAAGTGGCGCGGTTCTGCGATGTTTATTGTGCTAAGTTGCTTCAACTTTGAAAGTTCGATTTGAATTGCAACGTTAAAATAAACTTATTCCACTACTACTATTACTACTATACTCTTCAATCTCTTTATTTCCTTTTTCCCCTATTTTTTCATCCGTCTTCTTCTTCTTCTCCTTCTTCCTCTTCCTCTCTTTTTAATCTTCTTCTTCTTCTTCTTTTTCTTTCTTTACAAGTGAGTCGATAAATTCCAAATTTAGCGTCATGTATTGTACAAACGGCCCCTCACAATAATCATGAAAAGTAAATTTGAAGCTCTCGAACTTTTCCAAGTTTTAAATTTCAAACAAGATTTATGAAAACTTATTGCTTATATACTTATCATGAAAAGCAGATCTGAAGCTTTCAAAGCTAGCCTTTCAAGCTTATAAATTCCCACGAGATCCATGCAAACTCATTACATGCATTTTTGTTGCCAAGTAGTTTTTCATTCGGATGTTCTATATATTTGAAAGAAATTGCACTATCCACAGTCTAAACTGCTTTGAAGATCTTTAGTCAGACTCGGACCATGTTTAACAAAGAGAATCCAAGTTTAGTTACTAATTTCTTATTTTTTATAATTCGATCAATTACTCAAAGCGCCCTAACTTCGTGCAACAACGAATTATGAATGCAACGAATGCCACATTTTCCTATCCAAATCGGAGAAATTGAAGGCGTTCGCTCCCGCATCGGCTTTTTCAATGGTCAGGTCTGGATGCAACTATTCGTGTTCTCGGGATGTCCGCGTTGCATAACCAAAAAATTGCAGGCGTTCTGACTTTCTTCAGCGCACCGTATAGTTGCAGTTGTTAGCTTTCAAGGATTCTCTACCTTGCATTTAAAATCATTTTTACTATTAAATCCTCGAATTTCGGATGAGTCGTGTAGCACCATTGCAGCGTTGCCAAATGGTGCACATTTCTGAAATATTTCACGAAATTTCAGGAATTTGTGAAAAATATGGAACATATTTTTTCAGGAGCTAAGTATACAACACTATCTAAAAAACAACAAATAGCAAAAACCAGTCGCTTTTCATTTGAGTTTGCATTTATTTCCGTAAAATACCTTTCAATATTTTTCTGAAATTTCATGTGATATTTCACACGAAATTTCAAGATTTTATTTTTCATGAAAAACTGCAACCCTGCATACTTATTGTTTGAGTTTACTTCCTCCTTTTTACGGGCAAACGGGGGGGGGGCGTATGCCCTCTACCCCTGCTTCTCGGATCCACCTGTCCTGTAACACTGCCGACTGCCGTGCTAAGAAAAGACGCTATACGAACATTCGAGAGTTGCCAAATTTCCCCGCATAAAACATGTATTTTTGAGGAAAGTTATGCATTAACCCAAAATTTGAACATGTGTAGAGTTTCTGCAAAGTGGATTCCCAAGTTGTTAACCCAAGCGCAAAAAGAAATGCGCGTTTTCATCTGCCTACAGCTGCTGGACCGCTCAAATGCCATAAACTCTCGTTAACAGTGCAAAAGTTTCGGAAAACGTTTTACCCAACTTAGAACAAAATTTAATGTTACACCGTTGTTCCAAAATCTCACGCATTTCTCAAAATCGCAACACGCACTTGAACACACCTGAATCAAACGGCTGTAAAATCCGAACTAGTTAAGATAATTGAAATCCGTAAAAACCAACGCGTTTGTCAGTTTATTAGCAATCAGATAAACCCAAGAAAACGTCGATCCGATCATCCGTTGGCCCACAATGGCCAAAGTTCGGTTTCTATTGGATCATACCTCGTATTTTTCCTTGAAATTTTCAGATATTTTAGATTAAATCGTGAAAAAAATTGCCTGAAAAATTTGAGGAAAAATTTTCACAATATTCTCAGTATTCTCGAAGGAAATATGACAACGTCTGAAGGCTCTTTCGGCGCTCTTCTTTAGAACGGCAGAACAGACCCCGGAGCCGGCAATTTCGAGCTGGATCCTCGCCCGCGAATCAAAATCGGCAAACGGGGAAATGGAGATGTTGCATGTGTGAGGAATTTGCGATTTGACCGTTGATTTATATGTAAAAGTTCGCGAGAAACCCGATGGTGCCACTGGTTTTCTCTGAAATCATCTCCCAAGCTCAAAAAAAGCTCTCAAAGTGAGGCCAAAATGGAGGGGATATCCCACCCTACCCTGAGAGTCCACCTCTATACATCAAGACAAACTCTCCACGCGAAGATAGGGAGCAAATACATTACAGTGATACCGTGTTTTCAGTTTTAGAGTCTCCAAATAAAGTGGCAACCCTGCCAATGCATTTGCTCCCTATCTTTGCATGGAGAGTTTGTTTTGATGTAGAGGTGGACTCTCAGGGTAGGGTGGGATATCCCCTCCATTTTGGCCTCAACTTGAGAACTTTTTTTTGAGCTTGGGAGTTTATTTCAGAGAAAACCAGTGGCACCATCGTGTTTCTCGCGAACTTTTACATTATAGTCAATAGTCAAATCGCAAATCCCTCACACATGCAACAATGCAACATCTCCATTTCGAGCTGGATCCTCGCCCGCGAATCGGAATCGGCAAACGGGGAAATTCGCGGTCGGCCGAGACCTTGCACTTGGCATTTGGCGGCGTTAGCGGGGACGCTGGCGCCATCTGCGAGCTCGGGCGGGAACCTCGGGCGGCGCTCCCGGTGGGTCCCGTCCCGGGAGCGGGTGCCGCGGCGCGATCTCCCGATGTATCCGCGGCACGTTGCTCGCGAGCGCGGGAGTGGCATCCCGCCCGGTGTTCCGCGTTCTGCTCCGCCACGCTTATCGCTCGCAGTTTACCTTATCTTCGCCCGATTTGTCTCGCATTGTTGTCCGCGCCTCGCTCCGATCCGCCCGAACGGGCGCCGCTCGCTCCTCCGTCCAGTTCCGTTTACCAGTTCGGCTTGCGGTTTCGTCGCCCGGTATCGTCGCGAACCGGTGGAAACGCGCGCGGAGACGCCGGAATCTCCGGTGCGATTTTGTGCGATTGGTAACGCGAGTGTTGTGTTCAACAGGTGTTGATAAGTGCCGCGATTCTGGTGACTAGTGACTGGTGATTGGTGAGGAAGAGACCGGTTTTGGGGTGGCCGACCCTCTATCGGAAGAAGGAAATCACTGAGAGCTTCAGGAAAAAGTGAGTCGGTAAGACGTCAGGCCATTTTTAAAAGAAAAACCAACCAACCGTCCCAACATCGGGCTTATTATTGAAATAGATGGACGAAGCGATGGATCTTTATCCATCGCTTCGTCCATTCGCATTCCATTCGTACATTCGTACATTCGCTTCGGGTCTACGCCTTTGCGTAGAGAAAATGGAGCGATCCTATTGGTAGGAGACCGGTGATCGGTTTTGGGGTAGAGGTCCTTCCATCGGAAGGAGGAAGTCTTTGGTTGATCCAGGAAAAAGTGAGTCGGTCAGACTTCAAGCCATTTTTAAAAGGAAAACTAACCAACTGTCCCAACATGGGGCTTATTATTGAAATAGATAGACGAAGCGATGGACAAAGGCGTAGAGAAAATGGAGCGATCCTATTGGTAGGAGGCCGGTGATCGGTTTTTGGGGTAGAGGTCCCTCTATCAGAATAAGGAGGCCTCTGGTTGATATTTTCACGACGAGAACTCCAGGAAAAAGGGAGTCGGTCAGACTTCAGACCATTTTGCAAAAGGAAAACTAAACAACCGTCCCAACGGCGGGCTGATAAGTGAAATAGATAGACGAAGCGATGTGCAAAGAAGACCTAGGGTAAACGGAGCGTTCCTATTGGTAGGAGACCGGTGACCGGTTTTGGGGTGGAGGTCCTTCCATCCGGAGACGAGATTTACTGATTGATAGTGCCCTTTTCTTATCACACCGAGAGCTCCAGGAATAAGTGAGTCGGTCAGACGTCCGACACTTTTTTAAAAAGGAAAACTAGCCAACAGTTCCGACACTGTTAAAAATTGAGGAGTGAATCTGGTTAATATTTTCCTTGTCAGACTGAGAACCCCTTTAAAAAGAGTCCTTTAGACGTCAATTTTTTTTTATATATATTTCATTTTTGTAGAGGAAAACCCACCAACCGTCTCAAGAGAGGTTTTGAAAAATTCCGCGATTCTGGTGTGAAAAAAATACCGATTCTGCGATTAAGATCCTTCCGTGGGAAGACGGGAGACTGAAGTTAATATTGCCCCAAAAAGTGAATCATCAATTTTTCTCCTACTATGCTTATTTATTTCCGTAAATGTGACCGGCCACGGATAAAAGAACCCTAATCTACAAAAAGTCAAAATTGAGGTACGGATATCAGAGCATAAATGAGTTATTCACGTACATTTAGGGTCAAAAAATATAAGAAAATGACAAACCAAACCGGAGTTAGTACAGTCCAATGAAATTCCAAAAAAGTAGTTTCGTCATAACCCTGATCAGAATTCTAATTTGTCATATTTTGGGCAGAAAAATGGGACTTCACACCCTTTTTACCACAAATATGCGTTGAACTGCTCGCAACTTATTATCGAGGACATTGAGAGGAGCAGCCCGTAGAAATCTGAAAATTTGCCTTCTCGACCCAACTCGACACAAATAGGTCTACTTAAAATTTTGCCTTCGTGAACTTTAAGGTCTCTCTCCCGGTAGATGGTCACGAATTATGAAGAACTATGTTATAAAACACAAAAACTATACCGCCTAAGGTCCGAAAGCGAATGACAAGCGCATTCAGCAGTATATTTAAGTCGGCAGACAGGAACACTGCCTATGACAACGCCTTGATGCAACTATTCGAACTCGAAGGATGCCCGTGTTGCATATGCAACAATTTGAAGGCACTCCAGCTTCACTGACCCAACTAAGTGACAATCCGCGCGACACATCTAATTAACTTGCAATTTGGAACTATAAATTCCGGCCCGGCCTAAAAATAACGTATGTGCCATTAGTTTCCCTATGCACATGAGTGTTTTTTCAGATGAGCCAGAATTTATAGTTTCAAATTGCAAAATGCAGTCCACTTATTGAAGTGTTAGGGCCCCTTGCACTCCTTGGTCTCAACTTGACAACCAGCCTCGAACACCCGATGTTTGAGGTCACCCAACTCGGGTCACCCAGCTGCGAGTTGAACCTGGGACCTCCTGAACATAGAGCCAGTGCCCTCTACCAGTGCTACAACCACAGTAACACAAAAGACCGACATAGATTGGTTGATAAACCGATCCTCCTGATTTTAGTTCGGAAGGAGAAATGAACTTTAGCATATCGTTTTGACGTTTTACCATTCGGTTTTAGCAAGGATGCGAGATGGCACATTTGGATGTATTTCTATCCAACGGAACTATGTGCATTACGACGTGAGCCCTCTTATGCACATGTTCTTATGGGTATCAGGGCTTATGTCTTAATGCACATAGTTCTGTTCGGCAGAAATACGTCCATTTTTAGGTCGCAAAAATCGAACCAGCCTCAGACGGTGGGCTGGATATTAGTGCTGCATTCTTTAAGGACAAAATTTTGTTCCAAAAATAAACTTTGTTAGGAAATTTTTTTGTACGAAAGTCAGAAATCGACTCTTCCTCTTCGTATCAATTTGTGCGGGAAAAGGACGCCCCCCACCCCCTCTCACACATTTTCAAGTTTCCTGTCTAGATTCCAAGCAATTGATAGAGTTGAACTCGACGGTGGAATTTCTAAACCACGTATCTCATTTGCGATGTTCAAAAATCTCTGCTCCTATTTTATTTCTGTATACAGGAGAACGAATCAACATGATTCCTTGAAGTTTTCTCAGAATTTGCCTCGGACGGAGAAAAAAAATCATTGGAGTTTTTAAAAATTGACGTTGAGCAGTTCTCTACACTGGAAAAAAAACACATTGGATCTAGAGTCCAGACTCTTAAAAACACCGACAAGAAAAAATACTCTTGATTCAATCGGATTTAAGCTTAAATCAAGAACCAAGCCTCTTAAATTGAGCGGATTTCCTTTTGATTTAAGCTTAAATCTGATTGAATCAAGAGTCCCGTTTTCTTGTCAATGTTTTCAAGAGTCTGGACTCTAGGTCCAATGTTTTTTTTTCCCAGTGCATTTAAAAAATAAAGTATGATAAAAAGTCCGCAACGTCGCAATCCGAGATGCATGGTTTGGGAGTTTCTCCATTGGAATGGAACTTTCCAGAATGAAACTATGATCCCGTTTCTAGAACGTGCCTGCCGCTCACACTCATTTTCTCCCAATTCAATTAATATTTGTTGACTCAACGTACCCAACCTCAATTTTTCACAGGCATGTACACCCTAGGCCGTGCCTCTTCCGTGCGCGATCAACTGAAAACGGAGTTTTACGGTGTCTCCGTATCGAGTGTTAACATCTTGTATTCGTTCGCTCGTTGAAGAGTTTACTAAAGACTTTAAAAAGGAACGTGTAAATGTAAAAATTACTACTCTACATTCGTATTCATGCACACTGTGGATTTTGGACTTAAAACGCGAGTGAATCTGCAACTTTATCGGGAAGTTTTATTTCGCCTTATTCCAACGTAAATCGCGCCAATTTTACCATGGATCAATGAGGAACGAGATATTGTTCATCACAACATTTTTTGATATTAGCTGATATCTCCACTGCACGTTTGAAACTGCTGTCGTAGAAGGCATCGGTAAGTTAAACCCCTAAAAATCAGTATCATATTGGTAGGGCACACTGGGAAAAAAAATCGGCTACAGTGCGACTGAACTTTGGTTCAAATTGAACATCAAGGTTTTTCGGTTCAACTGACCGAAATTGTAGGTCATAGGAACCAAATTTTAGACAGGTCTCCGTGACCAAAAAATTCGGTTTCTATTTGAATCGAAAAACTTTTGTATTCAATTGATGATGTTATACGCTCAAATTTCCGTCAATTTCCGATCAAGATGATGACTAAAATGGCGGTCAAATTTGATTGTAGACGGTGTGCACCAGTCACCATTTGATCGGAAATTGATGTATACTTGAGCGTGCACGTATCCAGGCCCAGGGCCGGATTTACCTACTTGCCGCCCATAGGCCGCCTGTATTTTACCGCTCCCTTCTCATTCGCTTTGAAACATTAATACAAACCATCAAGTTTACTCACCATCGCGTTTCCTCGTGTTGGGCACATTTTTTGTGAAAACCGTGTCAACACGAGCAAAATTTCACGGAACTTTGCGCGTAAGTTAATTTCCATAAACCTATTTCTGTGTGGACAAGGCCTTTCATTTATAAGAGTTGAGCGAAAAAATTATGAAAGAATAAATATGAATGTGGTTTAATAATTTTAACTTCCGCCGCCGCGCCTAACCGCACTGTGTTTGGCACAATGCGTGAAGTATTCCTACAGTTTTTTAGGCGCTATGCTTTTCACGCCGCGCCGACCGCTAACCTCTCTGTGTTTGACGCAATGCGTGAAGTATTCGTGGAGTCTCGTAGGCGCTAATATGTGTTTCATGCTGACCGGCGCGCCGAGGACTTCTCCTTTTCATCTCAAGTCCGAGTCACCATTGCTCTCTGTGCCGCGCCACTCCAGGCCAACTTACGTGTTCGGTTTCTCTCTTAACTTGAGTAATGAAAGGTGCTGTCTCTTGTATCACCGGAAGACGAAAAAATTAAAATGATTATACTTTAACTCTCAGGAAATGAGAGATTTTGTCGCCTTTTCTCGTTTGCAATATTTTTTCTGAATCAGTTTTTTTTTTTTTTTTTTTTTTAAAACTGATTCAGAAAAAATATTGCAAACGAGAAAAGGCGACAAAATCTCTCATTTCCTGAGAGTTAAAGTATAATCATTTTAATTTTTTCGTCTTCCGGTGATACAAGAGACAGCACCTTTCATTACTCAAGTTAAGAGAGAAACCGAACACGTAAGTTGGCCTGGAGTGGCGCGGCACAGAGAGCAATGGTGACTCGGACTTGAGATGAAAAGGAGAAGTCCTCGGCGCGCCGGTCAGCATGAAACACATATTAGCGCCTACGAGACTCCACGAATACTTCACGCATTGCGTCAAACACAGAGAGGTTAGCGGTCGGCGCGGCGTGAAAAGCATAGCGCCTAAAAAACTGTAGGAATACTTCACGCATTGTGCCAAACACAGTGCGGTTAGGCGCGGCGGCGGAAGTTAAAATTATTAAACCACATTCATATTTA